TGAGCACGGTTATGTGAAGCGTAGGTAAGAGGACTAATTCGATGAGTTGTGGCGAAACGCCTCCCTTTTCTCCTCTTTTGTTCTCTTCCCTCAATTTTTGCCTCCTTTCCCTTTCTCGCACGCATCTAATTTTCTTTTCTCTGCTTTCCTGTGTAGCGTTCGAAAGAACACTGTTAATGGGCACGTTTTCGTGATAGAGAAAACTGGCTGCGAAACGTCGCAATTTCGCATTCACACAATAATGTCTGTCGCGTTGAGGTGTCGAAAGGGCGATGGCCTGCACTCTTTCCCAGCTAACAACACCGAATGACGGCTTTCGGCATTCGGCAGTGGAGTTTCAAAAAATGGCAGCACGTTTCCCTCTGGCGAACCTGTTTTTCACAGTCGTCATTAACGTAACGGTAAAGTGAACCTCTTCGGTTGACCGTCGTTGAGCCTTGTTAAAAACGAACGATGGATCGTCGATTTCGCCACCCAATCTTCTGCACTCGCCCCGTGACGAGGAACGTTTGTCGACCAACAGCCAATCAGCTACCGACTCTAAACAGAGTTACGGACTCACACGTCGACTCTGGACCACTGATGTGACCCTCAAGGGATGTTCGTCCCCCCTCCCCTTTCCTTTGATGGACGGACTGGGCGGAGGCGGACGACTACCACCTCGTTCTTTCCGCAGCCTTCGCCGCGTCCTCGACTAATTATCAGGATAGGTCGTGATAGGCGCTGTCAAATGCCGAACGAGGGGCGTGTCTGAACAATGTATTTGCCTACGTGTCCGCCTCCCTCCACACCGAGCGCCAAAAGAGACCCGTGAAACGGCCAACGGCTGTGATTCGTGGGCGGCCCTCCGCCGGAACTCAATTCATTCATAGTTTGGGTTTGGTCGACGGAGTCTGCCTGTTGCTGAACGAGGTGGTTAACGGCACGCCGAGGCGCGATATGGTTTTTACGTTGCGCTGGAAGTAAGTTGATTGATCAGATGACGGTTTGTTGTAAAATTGAATTTGCATAACTGTTGTAAAGTGCTAGTAAAGTACGGAGAAGCTGCGATCTGTGAAGCGTGCTTCGTAATGGGAGATGACGTGTGAAGTAGTGGTTTTGTTTGAAAACGGCACACGCCGCTTGAACCACTGTACAGTGCGATGTGAACCTAGGGACGAACGGTGAATGACAGATTACGATACTGGTTTGATTAAGAACCGACAGCACTTAAGTTCTTTCAAAATCTCAGCTTCAAACTTTTGCAGCGTTCTTTACATAGAATTTTGTGTACCAAAAAGCCGGTCTTCTGGCAGTTGCTCGAAAGATTGAAATGACTATGAAAAGCCTGTCAAAAATGGATCGAAAGTATGCAACAACTTTCTTATTGATTAGATAACATTTTCTTTGGTGAAGGCCGACTACTGATTAAGTAGAATACGAAAGTTCGTACTTCAGGCAAGCAATTGGTCATAATAATCATAATCATCTATGCTCGGTCTTCTTCCTCTTCTCTACTTTAATCATAATGCATAGTACTAGTCGAAAGAAATACCATTATCTCTTGGTTCTTTGATACCATCCTTAAAGCATCATCTGACGATACAGCCCCTTTACTAAGAATCAGTTTCCTCCGTTCACTGTGAAAATCAATTCTCACCCTAGTCTCTTGTGGCCTAATGTCATCATTGGCCGAGAATCTTTCTGTTTGGAAGTTGATGGCTTCAGTGTGCTTCTCACAGACTGAACTGCGGCAGAAGTGACGAGTTACATCGGCTCTAATCACCACTGCCATGATAGCCAACCGACTTTCGGATTTGCCTGCTTTCCGCGATGAGTATGGATTGTGAAGAACAGGCTTATGATGTACTAGGTTTGGTGTTTTTCTTACGTTTGCCACCATCATTGGTTTAGTGACGTCAGTATCGCCGCTTTTCACCTCCTTCGATCACTCGCAGTGTCCGTTACAGAATTCGACCGGTCCGTCTTCCACCGTCTCTGCTCGCCACTACCGGCTCAGAGAAGTCTTTAACGTCCACTCTGGTAGTGTTTGTTCCGTCAGTCCTCATTGGTCCTACTAGGCTAATTACTAATGTTGTGAACAAACACTAAATTCCTCCAGCACCAGATTTCATAATTGCCACACCCCCTTGCTCATTGTTGCTTCCGGGGGGGGGGAGGGGGGTGATAAGCGGTCCACGACTCTGTAGCAAACGTGCAGTTGCAGTGGCAGATGCATCGCTCATCATTTTGCTTTCTGACCGTGTTAGCTTGAATCTGACACTTCGATTATACTTTACATTTCATTATCATATCAAATATTCTATGATCCGAATATCGAAGTGAAGAAAGTTTGTTGAACAGTACACTGGAACTGTACTTGATGGTCTAACATCTTTTTGACGTAGTGAAACGCGCGGTTGCGTAATCATCTCGATCAGCCTATGTTTTTTGCAGCAGGACTGATATCACAAGGTCCGACAGATATGCAATTATCAGTTTTAACTATGGAGTAGTTTCACATATATTACTTCAGTTATTTCTTAAGGCGCAAAGTCGTTGATCGCCAATATCCTTAAAGGGTTTGCTCCCCATGTAAATATCAATCATCCTCAGGGGACATTTTACAATGACAGCTGACAGCATACATTAACAATTTGATATTGCCATTATCACAACTTATTACTAAACGGCAAATAATTTTGGCCCGGTTGCACAATGGCAGAGGGTTGGACTTGAAACTACGGAGATGCCAGGTTCGAATCCCGAAAACACAAAATTTGTGTTAGACGCTGATTCTTGGAGTAAGAAATGAATCACCCCTCATTGCTTTTGTGCAACTAATCCCTTCAAGCAAATCGCTGATTTGCATACAGCATGGAAAACGTCGTGTTTTGGTGTGGTTGTGCCAGATTGGCTAGAGGTACGGCCATGCTGTCTGATGCAAAGGCCTAATGAGGCTACAAGACGCCTTGTGCAGCCAGATAACCGCTTATTCAGCGTGATAATCAGCAGAAACTGTGACTGTTGTTGTTGAAGTTGTTCTGAGGTATAAATCCTCCAACAACTGGTTTCACGTCGTAATGAACTACCTCATTGCCACTGGTTGCTAAGGGGGTCATTTAATAAATTACGGCTCCAAGGTATAACACATCTCCAGTAATGGACACGTCTTTCACCATTTGTCCCTTTCAGCTACCTCAGGTTCGTCGCGAACGATGGAGGAGGTTTGAGGATCTGGTACTCCTTATACGCTGTCACATAGGCATAAAATATATTCGTATGCAGAGTACGTTAATTGGTACATAACTGCACCATGTCCAAGTTCATGTTCACATAACTCCGCCAAGCTTAGCTTTCTACGGCGTATTAAATTATTGCTCCATCATTTAAACAATCCCATGGTCCAAAGCGCCTGGACTCTGTTGCATAATCCCCTACTGTGGAATATCGTAACGTCATCGGCGTTCATACGTACGTGGAAATCCATCGGAAGGATCTGTCAATTTGAGTGAAAGCCAACTGTGCGTTCGATATTCATTTTTTATACCCTCCATTAACGGCGTCTGATTTCGCGCCTGATATTAGGCAAATTGACTATGAAAGATAAAAACGAATTACTTTACAGAAGGCGCTCCGAAGGCGCATGTGATGGTCAGAGTTTGCCAGAGAGGGACTAGTAGATAATCTTAAACGCAGCGCAGGGAGAAAAGTGAAAAGTTGACCCAACCACGTGACAGCGCAAAATCCACTTACTTTCCACAGGTACATGAGTTTTAAATCAGTTGAAAGGGAAGATTACGGACGATTATTATTACGGATCTAATTATTCAACGGTGCCAATGTTAATTACTAAAATATTCACATTAATTAATTCGTGAATAATTTTGTAAAACACGAATAAATTGTTTCAGAAAAAAGCATAAATATTAATCGCCATGATCATAAACGGGTTTAAGATCGGCATAGACGAAGCATCTGCAGTTTTTGAGTCGTGTCGGATCGCGCTGCATCCACCCTCACAGACAATACGATAAGCGTATAGACCATTTAGTTACGACGATGAAAATAAGTAATACTGTATGATTTTGATGCTGCCCTGAGGATGGATAGATTATGATCTGAAAAGCTGGACAAATTGCTGATAAGTATAATATAGCGGAGTAATCCCGTTTGTGATTATGGTGATAATGAATTAATTATTAACGTATCTAAACAATTAAAAGCTGATAGTTGCCGACATGGGTGAAAAATGGCACAGCTCTATTGTTTATGTTGCATGAACCAAAGAAATTACTGACTGGGATAGTAAAAAGTGAGATATTCAGTGGAAAGTAGTGATGACATGATATGGGAATCTGTAGCACAACATTATTAAATTCGGATTTTTGGTGACCTCGACAATTCACATTTCTCAGTACATGCTGTTCATTAACTATTCTCTGTCAATTTTTGTCATGAGTCGAATTTTTCAGAAAGTAGACAACATGAGGAAATTAATTGCGGAATGAAAAAGGATAGCCCCCTCAATCCTCTTAGTTTGAGAGATTGCAGTAAACGTCCCATGGCGGTCTGTTTGATAATGATAAAAATTGAGTGTTATGCTCATAACAGAGAATTTTTCGTTTGACGTGATGGGGACAGTTTCTTTGTCCTCAAAAGTTTGTTCCGAGGGCAAAGCGAAGTCTGGTGAAGCGTTGACTACCAGTTAATCGTTGGGGCTTAAGGCAAGATTCGCGTATAAGCACAAATGCCTCTGTTGTACGTTTCTCTGGCATTTCATTCCTGACTTTGATCGTTACTCGGTCTTTGCGACGTGGACGCCAGGCTTGGTATTGCAGGAAACTAGCAACGTTCTTAATCGAAAACTGCATGTTTAGCTACCAGGTGGGTCAAGGCGAAATCCTACCACAAGGGGCTCTCGCATCAAGCAGTTTTTTGGCCGCACTCATCGTCCATTACGGCATGACCAGACCAGAACACCATGCGTTCTCTATTACTAGCAAGGCATTGACTCTCTCCTTGTTTTTCGGCTGGTTGCACCGAACCAACGTGGAGCTAATTTCTTACTCGTGATAAGTACTCCCTTTGTGCGAGTTCGAACCCGGCACCTTTAGAGTTCAAAGCCGACTTCTTAGGAAGCCCACCACACCACCACAAAAATTTATGTTCATGTTCATAACGATATTTAATGTTGCTCGCCATATGACTGTTTTATGGCACTCCCTCCGGCATTAATGCGGTCGGTAAGCGGAAAGTTTTCGTCTGAAGTTCAGAGAGTACCCTTCCTGGTGCAGATGTGTCTTAAAGACGAAATTGGGTTTTCCATCCGTGAGGATCTGCTCGCTCCTCAGCCGATAATATCGGGATTCAAGACAAACCTTCGCGACTTCATGAACACTTACTGCAATTATTCCATATGGCTTTTCGTTTTGGTACAAAACTTCTATTTTTGCTACATAAATGTGGCAGCTGAATTTATTGAGAATATTCCTACTTAACCAATATTTTGTTAAGAGCCATTTTTGGTACTTACTCCATGATACTAAGGTTTTTCGATTATGCTGACCAGTACATATCTGCAAACTTGTATTTAACTTTCTGACCACTTTCACGATGAAATAACACCAGAATCGGTGTCAGAGTTTTTGGCATTTCCTGCGTCTGCCCGTCAAGAATCAGATCACTTTCACCAGCGGCAGATGAGCGATACCTCATCCACATTACGTTCTAAGTCAAATTTCCGTATCGCATATCCGTTGTTCTGCAGTATGCCACCAGACTGACGATTCGTCACATTTACAGTGCATCTGCGATGTCGGCCACCTTTACACTTTAATGATTTGAGGTCATTTTTCTTCTCATGAAATTAATGGGGCAGCGCTGATCTTCGATTCTATCCCGTCAGCCACCGCTAACTCATTTTTAAGGCAGAATGTGCAGTTACGTGGCAAACAAAGAGTGTAGTCTTCTGTTTCCTTCCCTCA